GCCCCCCCATGGTTATATGACATATTTTGGGCCCACATTTACAGCTGTTTGCAGCATCCCATGGTCACATGACTTCTCTTTACATTTACATTTTTTGCCAAAATTATTTAAATTATTTTATTTTATTGAATAATTAAATAAGTTATTTATTTCTAGTTTTTGACAGAAGCGCCCCATAAAGAACAATGGATTCGCATAATGTCCATCACATTCTCTTTATGAATATCATGTTCAGTTAATGACTGCTGCAAAAAAGGTCATAAAATTAGGCCAGTTACATAAGTGATCCACTTGACTACTCTCATGACTTACAACCATAATGGGCAGGCTCAATTATGGTAATAAATTGAGGATTATTTGTATACATAAATTTTCATCTCTTCTGGTAACATGAAAGATCTGCACAATATTGGTACTGGAACTAGTTTCAGTCTTTCATTTCATGAAATAAATTTTAAACACATGTTCAATCTTCACTGGAAAGTCAGTTCCCCAAGAAAGGAACTTTCTGAAAATATCCTCCATAAATTCACTCAGGTTTGATTAATTTGAGCGATTTTCAATACCAATCACACATAGAGTTTTTCCTCCGTGTTTGGACACTAATTCATTTATCCAAAATATTATGAATAGTTTGAGTTATGGTCTCATGGATCTGTAATTAATCTTCGTATCTAGCCACTTTTTCTTGCATCTGTTTTAAATCACTCTTAAGCTTTTGTTGAATCAACTTCAAGACTTGTACTTTAACTAGGATCTTTTAGTAGAAGAATCTTCTGCCATTTTTCCCAGCATAGCCGATGTTAATGACACAGTTAGAATTAAGCTACCTATTGACCATAGTAATTTTTTGAATTACCCAATGATGAAAGTCTTTATCTACAGAATCTGAAAATACAGGAGTTTGAAAACCCTTTAATTAGTATCAATCAATCAACTTATTGTTACAGTCAAAGGCCAACACATAAATTAAACATTCAAATAAAACAAAACTAAATAGAACCAACACAAGAAGACATAGCAATATATTACAATTAATGATTTAATCAATGAGTGACCAAGGTCTGTCTAGTTTTACAGACAATATAACAAAAACTAGCTACCTTCAGAAAAACTGAATCATACTGACCTGACAATAAAAATACATTGAGTATAGTCTAATGCTGGATAAAAACACATGTAATAAAAATTAATTATAAAAGATTATTAAAAAGATCTAAAATGTTTATTTATGTTTCTGATGAATCCCCAATGCTGCTGCACAGAATCTAGCCACCTGCACCGTGATCACTGCCTGCTCATCCTTAAACAGCCATTGGAGATAAATACTTTCCGAACAACCAGGATACCTATCAATTGTGGGGAAGATATGGTTTTTCCGAATAGCTCTATAGAAGGAACATCGAAGGAGTATGTGTCCAATGGTCTCCACCTCTCCTGAGCCACAGGAGCAGAGTCTTTCAGCCAATGGTGTCTTTTTATACTTGCCGTACAGGACGGCCAATGGAAACACATGGCACAGTGCAAGCGAGAATGCTTTCCGGTGGTTTACTGACTCCAACTGACTAAGATACCTGGCAGGTGTAACCACTTATCTAATAGTCTGGAGCCAGAAACAGCGGAGCTATACCTAAGTCCACTTGCATCTTTAATTACTTTTTAATTACTCTTTAATTACTCTTTAATTAGTAAAGAAGCAATATGTGCTAACAGAGTAATCCCAAACTAGGTATCAATGATGCAGCATTAGTTAATAACTAATAATATCTAGTTAACTAGTTAACTAATTAGTTAATAACTAACATCTGCAATAATGCTGATGGCTATTTGCAGGTTTTTCTGAAGTGATTACTGTGATTTCCAAATTTAGCCTGTGGCACAGTGGTTAGAATGCAGTATTGCAGGCTAACTCTGCTCACAGCCAGAAGTTCAATCCTGACCCGTTCAAGGTTGACTCACTTTCCATCCTTCTGAGGTCGGTAAAATAAGGACCTAAATTGTTGGGGCAATATTCTGACATTTATAAACTGCCCAGACAGTGCTGTAAAGCACTATGGAGCGATATATAAGTCTAAGTGTTATTACTATTTATTCGTTAAATGTATATCTTACTTCTTTTCCAGTTTAAAACGGCATCTATTTGCACATTTGTTGAACTGCAGGACTTGATATAGAAATACTCTCTTCTTGGAAGAGTAACTGCAAGTTCACGAGATAGAATTCTATTCCCAGTTATAATTTTAGAAAGGTTAATTTAGCAGCCAACATAAAGCTATAATATAGAAAAATACAGGAATACTAAGATGTTGGTACAGCTTCAACAACTTCTAACAAACCTTTTGAAGGTAGTCCTTGACTTACAAGCACAATTGGGACTGGGTTTCCAATTGTAAGTTATTATGATCATAAGTCAAGGCACCCATGTGATAAGACCCAATCTGACATTTTTGCAGCACTCATTAAACAAATGCCATGGTCTTAAGTGCAAACCTATTCTTCTGAATGAGCATTTTTTATTGGAAACTGGTAAGAAACATCGCAAATCACACTCACATGACCATGAGACACTGCAACAGATTAAGGTGAGCTGGTTGCGAAGTGTCCAAAATGAGATCATATGACTCTGTGTGTCTTTGTGTGTAGGTGGCATATTTTACAACAACCAGAATTTCCAATGTAAGGAGATAAAAAAAATTGGTAAAGTTTGCTCTATATTAACCCTAAGGTGTTGCTATTGAGAAATTTACTGCTTTTACTGTTTTGTTTTTTTTTAAAGTCACGTTTACCAATGATTCAGCTTACTCTCTAAGGACTAAAATATATCTAATATTCTAAACATTTTATACCATATAAATGTTTGGCATAGTGGTTAGAATGTAATATTTCAGGCTAACTCTGCCCACAGCCTGGAATTTGAACCTGATGGACTCGAGGTTGATTGAGTCTTCCATCTTTCGAGTTTGGCAAAATGAGGATACAGATTGTTGGGGACAATATGCAGACATTGTAAACTGCTCAGAGAATGCCATAAAGCACTATGAAGCGATATATAAGTCTAAGTGCTATTGTTATTTAGCTTTATTAAATCATTACACCAAATATATAAGAATGGCTTATAGAGGGATCTTCAAATTTGGCCCTTTTATGACTTATGGACTTCAAATCCCAGAATTCCTCAGCCAGCATGCCTGGCTGAGGAATTCTGGGAGTTGAAGTCCACAAGTCATAAAAGGGCTAAGTTTGAAGACCCCTGGCTTATAGTTTCGTTTCCTTTTTAAACATGAAAAAGCTGTTTGATGCATTGTTCAAGATACATTGATCATTAACATCAGTCTTTTAATTCAACTAAAAGGGGATTTGTCCTATTACAAAAGGATACTAGTTATCATATTATCATTCTGTATTATTTCTTAAAAGGCTATTTCTGTGGATACCCTGCTAGAAATAGCAGCTGACATATTTTCAATTTCTTATGGATACGACCACTGGTAGTTGCTTCTCCTATTTCTTAAATAAATCCTATGACCAACCAAATTTCATGTTTCTTTTTCTATTTCTATTAAATATAAAGAAATAAAAAAACTGGTTTCTTATTAAAACCTGGTCTATTTTTCACCTGGCAACATTTCACTCAGTAAAACATACAATGTCAGTATCTCAACTTACATTTTCTGAGGATGAAATACTAAAGAAAGGAGTGCTCTTACCTGCCTATTTTTGCTTTTTCTGTCCTGTTTTTATACACAAAACATGCAACTGAATTTTTCACCAAGCATTAGTTTATATTTGTCAATGGAATATCATATATTTGGCAGTTTTAGGAATCTCCAAAATACTTAGACACAAACCTGATTTGACTTTTCTACTGTACTACTGGGAACCTCAGTAGTATCCTTCACAAAGATGTTGTCAATAATGTGTCTCTCTGCACATTCCTGGCCACAAATTGGACAGCGAACAACACCAACTAGTGAAAAAAAAAGAATGAGGTAAATTATAGATTTACAAATCAGACATTATCCACTCATTTTTTCAGGACTTTTTTTTATCCTATTCAACAGTGTCCCCCATTTCTTAGCAGCAAATAATACATTCTCCTCAGCTTATCTCATTGCTTCTTCTCTAAGCCACATATCAATGCAATACAGCTTTATTTTACATTGAGAAATTCCTTAAACCAAAAGCATATCCCTATTTTGGTGTTCAAAGAACTTAAGATGATCATATATTAGGCCACGTGGAATGTATTTATCAGGTCATATCATATGCATTTCACATCATATCATATGCAAGTCAGGTCATATGTATTTTTAAGAATTAATTAGTATCTTTAAAAATGATAATAGTCAGATACCTGAGTATATAAAAATAATATAAATGTATTTAAATTTACAGCATTGTAAATTATTGCATAAAGAATATCAACAGAAAAAATGAAGTTTTATATATAAAGGAAACTTGCTTTGTTACATTATACAGAGAATTATTCATGATTTTATAAAATATGCAAATGTTCGGGCATCTGAAAGCATTCAACTAACTTCATCTGACACTGGTTATTACTCTGATAAAGTACTCTGAGGTACAATGCCTCTTCAAGCAGAGTGGTGCTCAGCTTGCAAGAGTACTCTGACAATTACCTAGATACTGAACTGATTTGAAATCAAGAATAAGCTGAAGGAGACCAAAGTCTAATGAATGACCTAGTCTACTATAAAGATCAAACACGTAATGCCCTTCTTCTAAGAAACAACATAACTAGTCTCTAATGCAAATACAACTAGAAAGCCCACAAATAAAAGATAACGGCAGTTCTCTTCTATTGTTGTTCCATGCACTAAAATGTAAAGGGAGACATCTTCCATGTCTGGAGGCAGCACCTTGTCATCAAGACTGGTAGCCACTGAATGACCTGTCTTGTAGGAATGCAGTATTGCAGGCTACTTCTGCTGACTGCTGACTGCCAGTAGTTTGGCAGTTTAATTCTCAACAACTCAAGGTTGACTCAGATTTCCATTCTTCAGAGGTTGGTAAAATGAGGACTCAGATGTTGGTGGCAATATGCTGACTCTGTAAACTGCTTAAAGAGAGCTGTAAAGCACTATGAAGCTGTATATAAGTCTAAGTGCTATTGCTATTCAGCAACTTGGTGGTGCTGGCAGGCAGAAGAATGAAATAAAAGAGTTCTCCTCTCCCAGTCTACTACTGAGTTATGTAGCTTTAGCCATGTCAATCCTAACACGATCAGTTCTTGAAGATTATGGGTTACATAAGAGCTCAGCATGCTCTTCAATTGTTAACCATGATGGTACCCGCTCTTAGAGGCTGCCTGTCTATCATCTCTACCTTGCCTTCACAGGTTTACTCTAGATATCTGTAACTCTTCTCCTGACTATAGCTCTATGAAATTTGTGGTTGCACCAGGATCAAGTAAAACTTCAAGTTGTTCCTCAAAGCCAAAGTCAAAAAACAATTTGATAGAATCAAATAAGAGTATTTTGATCCAGATGAACCTACGCCTTTTTTACAAGCTGAATGGATGCCCTTGCAAGTTCAATCAGAATAGAGTTCAAAGGGACCTTGAGGGTCTCCTATTCCAACCCCCTGCTCAAGCAGGAGACCGTATACTATTCCAGACAAGTGACTGTCAGGTTTTATCCTTTTTATTAGTTTATAATATAAAATACAAAAATACAAAAGCAAATAATAGGAAAAATAGGGGAGGGAAAGAGGAAAAGTGTAGAAAAGGAGGGAAAAAGAAAGAAAAGGCACTGAGTTCTAACTCTCTTTAGTGTAGTAGAATAAATAGTATGCTACTACAAGTGACTGTCCAGTCTCTTCTTAAAAAACCTCCAGTATTAAAGCACCCACAAGTTCTGATGGCAAGCTATTCCACTGGTTAATTGTTCTCACTGTTAGGAAGTTTCTCCTTAATTCCAGGTTGCTTCTCTCCCTGATTAGTTTCTATCCATTGTTTCTTGTCCTGCCCTCTGATGCTTTGGAAAATAAGTTGATCCCCTCCTCTTTATAGCAGACTCTCAAATACTGGAATCTTGCTATCATGGCCCCCTAGTCCTTCTTTTCTCTAGACTAGCCAAACCCAAATTCTGCAACTGTTCTTCATATGTTTTGGTCTCTAGGCCTTTAATCATCTTAGTTGCTCTTCTTTGCACATTTTCCAAAGTCTCAACATATTTTTTTCTAATGTGGTGACCAAAACTGGATGCAGTATTCCAGGTGTGGCCTTACTAAGGCTTTATAAAACAGTATTAATACTTTACATGATTTTGATTCTATGCCTCTGTTTATACAACCAAGGATTGTATTACCTTTTTGACTGCTGCTGCACATTGCTGGCTCATATTTAAGTGATCGTCCACTAGGACTCCAAGGTCCCTCTCACAGTTACTATTTTTGAACCAGGTTTCACCTAACCTGTACTTGTACCTTTGGTTTTTCTTGCCTAAGTGTAAACCTTGCTTTTTTCCACATTAAATTTCATTTTGTTGGATAGGGCCCATATTTCAATTCTGTCAAGATCTTTTTGGATCCTGAACTTGTCTTCTGTGGTGTTTGCTATTCCTGTCAGCTTCGTGTCATCTGCAAATTTGAAGAGTTCCCCTTCTATTCCCCCATCTAAGTCATTTATGAAGAGATTGAAGATGGAACCTTGTGGGGACTTCCGGTCCTGCGCGGTAGCGACTGGTTGCGAGCTTGTGGACCGCCGCACCCCCACGGCCAACTTTCGTTCTGCCTTGAGACCCTAATGGGTCCAAGCCGCCACAGAGAGGCGGCGAAGAAAGAAGGGTGCCCCAGCAACTCTGGAATGACGGCAGTCATTCCGTTCATCTTGGGGAAAGCCTTCTAACCTGACAGGAGAAAGGCTGTATTTCATCGATCAGCCCAAGCTACTTGCAACCGGAGTCCAAAAGAACTAACCAGCATTACAGTAAACTGTGCTTGAAACAGGGTGAGGAATCTGATTTTCCATTTTCTATTCTACACTTAATTTCCTGGAAAAGATCCCCAAGAAGCAAAATACCTCCAAAAGTGAAGGAGGGGGACTTCCGCCCCATCCTTATACTAATGGAAGTGGTAAATTAAAATTTCTATGGAGGATCAAAATATATGATAGTGAAATAAATTTATAAACCTGAAAGCTAAAATTTAACTTTGGACAAGTTTAAGATTGTTGAATGGTTAAGTCTCTCATTTTAAAGACCGTTGTTCATGTTGAAAACTAAATAGATGCTGACACCTAGTGGTGGATGAAGATTATGACAGCTATGATTTCCATAGAGAACTTGCCAAAACCTGGGAAAAGCTAATCTGTGTTTAATAATAAAGAACAGCTGTGACAAAAAAAAGATAACAATCTGGGCTGCAGACAAAGAGAGAATTATAAACTTTAGGGGGGAAAATCTTTTTTGAACTCTTTGGATTACAAATATCTATTTAACCGGGACTCTAAAGCTATTTGCAGATAAGAAGGAAAACTCCAACTTTTGGCCATCATGGATCAGAGACGTATAGACAGAACACACCAAGAAAACATAAATACCTCTCAGGAGGAGATATATAGTATACTGCAATTAATTCAAATAACACTGAGTTCAAATCACAAAGAAATCCAAAATAACTTTGAAAATACAAATCAATCTATCTCTAAGTTAACTTTATAACAAAAAAAACTTCCAGGAAACAACAACAGAGAAGGAGCAGACAAAACAAATAAGTGGACATAAAATTGAAAATAGAGACTCAAAGATGGAACTTAACAAAGAAAGAAAACATGATTTAATCCTAGTGGGAAAAAATTTACAAGAAATGAAAAAAACAACTCATCCCTTAAGACTACAAAATCAATCTGAGGGGAAAAAAACCAGATTGGATAAAATGGAATGTAGAGATGATGAAAACATCAGAGAGAAAGAAGTGATAAGAGAAGCAAAGAAGGAGAAAGAGAAAAACATTTTCAAGAAACATGGAAAGGCAAAAGCCTCACATAAAGACACTTTATTCGATTTACTTCTTATACCTACAGCAACAGTCATGAATATATGGAAAAACTTTTTGATTCAGCAAAACACATTGATCAAGAAAGATATTGGCCAAAGGAAAAAGATCAAAATTAAGAAAATAGATGATGGGATCTACCAGAGAGAATATTTAAAAAAGAAACATTGGTTTGAATATGGTTAAAGAAATAGAAAAGATTCTGAATACATATGTCATTCTAAGAGAGATGAATTCCTTAAATGATACTGTATGCTTCTTTCCCCCTTTTTATTTTATTTCTTGATATAAGTAATATAATACTACTGAAATGGCCTAGATCAGACATGTCAAACACAAGGCCCGGGGGCCGGATGCAGCCCGCAAAGTGGTTTCATGTGGCCCGTGAAGCCATCCTGAAAACAATGAGGAAACGGTCCCCTCTGCCTTGGCCCTGGCCCAGGCCAGCCGGGAGCCAATGTACAATTTTGTGGTGGCCATCTATGCTGAAACGCATTCAGTCTTAGCTCCACAAGGCTGTCTGGAAACAGCAAGGAACCAGCCCCTGCCGCGTCGGCCCCACCCCCTGGGTGCATGCTGGGGAGGTGTCACCCTTTGTGAGGAATGAAGAAATACACTGCCTGGAAATGGCCAGTAAATGGCCCTTGCCTACTTCACCTATCCGGCTTGATGGGCTCTGGGAGAGGGGTTTCGGCAGGCAGCAGGGCACTCTCCTCACAGCGTCGACAGGCTGAGCTGGGCGGCGCGAATCCAAAAAGAAAAGTGAGGTCACCCAGCTCCCAGCCTGCCTGGTTTCGGCAGGCAGCAGGGCGCTCTCCTCACAGCGCCAAGAGCTGAGCCGGGCACAAATCTGATGAGAAGTGCAGTGCTGCCTAGCCCCAGTTTGCCCAGTTTCAGCAGGCAGCAAGGTGCAAAGCTGACGAGCTTCGCACCGCCCGGCTCAACCTCTCA